TAAAAGAGGGAAGGGGGTGTTGAAACAAAGCCGCTGATCGTTTGCCGATCGGGGAGAGAGATAAGGGACGCTAGAGATAAAGGAGGCTGCCTGGGAGGGGGGAGGTAAAAGCCCATGGATCCTCAGGATTTTTGCATTGGGTGACCCCAAATTCATAATCAGATCACATAGCATGTCCATGGCTACAGCCTGCACCAAAAAAATCACGCACCCACTGTTGCCTGGGGCTGCAGTGGCACAAAACGTGGTTACAAAGCATGGATCCATGATTTTTCCATTGGGTCACCCCAAATTCACCATCAGATCACATGTCTTTGGCCACAGCATGAACCACAAAAATCATACATCCACTGTTTCATTCAGAATATTTTTTTTTCTTGTTTCCTCCTCTAAAAACTAGGTGTGTCTTATGGTCAGGTGCGTCTTATGGAGCAAAAAATACGGTATTTGCCAAATGTGTGTGCAGTGGACACACTGTTATTTAACACTAGGTGGCGTTTGGGATTATTGCTTTTGACTGACAACTGACAGGCAGTGAGCGGCATTTGATGGCATTTGACAGTTTCTGAGCCCACCCACCTTACCCAAAAGCCGGACCAAATCTAGTCCAAACTGTTCAAATTCTGAGACGGGTATCAGATGCAAAGCGAAGAAATCTGAAATGCGGGCAAATCTTCAAGGTGCTTCTGTTCTCCCTGGAAACTTTTGCACGACAGCTCACAGAATCGCAGAGGGAGCCCCAGGGGTCATCTAGTCCAACCCCTGCAATGCAGGGACCGCAGCTAAGCTCTTGGTGACCTATTACTATGGAGGCAACCTGGCTGCTCATCCCCCTAGTTCCCTCCTTTGACCTGATCTCCGTGGGGCCCCAAGTCCTGACGGGACACCACTTTGGGGGGTAAATTGCTTGGGATCTGAAGGGATTGGAAGCTGTCTGGTCCAAATTGGGAGAAGGGAGGCAAGACACTCCCTGATCTCCAAGGATCACCCTCTTCCTTTTTTTATTACTATAAGCAAAGTACATACAGAAAAAGCAAACAAACAGAAAAAGGAAAATGGAAAAAGAAAAAGTAATCTTACAATAAATGTTCTTGGACTGATATAGATCTTATCTTATATATAGTGAAATTGTTTAGAAATCTAAGATTTATATACTAATGTAGTTATACAATAAGGTAAAGGTAAAGGGACCCCTGAGCATTAGGTCCAGTCGTGACCGACTCTGGGGTTGCGGCGCTCATCTCGCTTTATTGGCCGAGGGAGCCGGCATACAGCTTCCGGGTCATGTGGCCAGCAGGACTAAGCCGCTTCTGGAGAACCAGAGCAGCGCACGGAAATGCCGTTTGCCTTCCCATCAGAGCAGTACCTATTTATCTACTTGCACTTTGACGTGCTTTCGAACTGCTAGGTTGGCAGGAGCAGGGACCGAGCAACGGGAGCTCACCCCGTCACGGGGATTCAAACCTCCGACCTTCTGATCGGCAAGCCCTAGGCTCAGTGGTTTAACCCACAGCGCCACCCACGTCCCATTCTTTTTTTATTACTATTAGCAAAATAACATACAGGAAAAAACAAACAGAAAAAGCATACGTAAAAAGGAAAATG